TTTGTATTGGGCCCCTATTCTTTCAAAGCAGCAATGTGACAGCAGTCCCCGCAGTGTCATAAACTTCTGAGGTTTGTACCGCTGTTTCTAGAATTGTCGGTTGGTGGAATAATAACGCACACATTCATAGCCTCGCACTAGGGAAACCCTGTGTCGCGGGTGCCATGGACACACACATAGACAAACACAAATGACACCCAAACTCATGAGAAAAATAAATGTGGGCTATACAAATATTTCTCCCAGCCTGGGAATCGAACCCGAAACCTCTGCGTGGCAGTCCAACATGGTAACCATTTGGCCACAGAGGCAGTTAATGAGAGTGCATTAATAAAATGCCCAGAAGTTGTTCTTGTATTTTATTTTGTTACAATCAAATGTTACAAACAAGTAATTTCAACTGCGTTTTTCACTCCACATTTGTCTCTAATCAGCAGTAAGTTGCGTACTTTTGTCTACCCTGTACAGATCAGATCATATTAAAAAGAAGTCCTGAGAGGACACCCACGATCATCCAATGGGTATTTGGCATAGATAGTAGAGCAATGCACAACAAAAAAATAAATCAAGAGTTGAAAAAATGTAAAGGATTAACACAAACAATATAACGATCATATTATAACAATGGTGATAACAACTTGGTGCAAAGCCGTCAAAGAAACAAATGGTTGGAGGAGGTTTTTGCTATTCACATATAAAACACACAAACATAAAACTAACGTGTCAATGAAATACATTAGAATATAAAAATATCATAATTGAATGTAACACAATTTTATTTCATTGCAATTTCATGTATTTCTTTCATATATTTGTAATAAACAGTTTTAAATTTTAAATTTTTTAATTTTTACATTTTTAGGCAGTGAGCAGCATCTTTGCAGCATACCATTACAACTTCTGAGCAGTAACTTTTCAGTATAAATGACTCTTCTAAATACTGTCTGAAAGATTAGCATGACAGGATGCGATCTGCACGAGAGGAACATAAAGTATGAAATCTCAATGCGAAAATAGCAGTATCTTGCGTTATATGACCTGCTCCCCGCAGGTGATCAAAGATAAATGGCATATATATCACTTCGACCTAGCTCAAGAATTATTGTACTGCCCATTTGTACATTTTGTTATACAACATGCAAAACAACAATTAAAGCACATGTTTAAATGTTTTACTTTAAAAAAACTTTAAGATGATGCATATGAGAGCAAACACTTTGTAAGTGCAAATTTAAAGAAAGCATGTATCTGTATACATTCATCAAATTTATTTATTTATTTATTTATTTATTATATGGACAACAAAACAGATAACAATCAAATTACATTGATACAAATTAAATATGATATAACAAAGTTCAGTACTAGATTGTAACCCTACTTATGTTGACACATCAATCTATAGTAACAAGAAAGAACTACTGTTAAATTTGTTGTTAATTTACTTATTTACTTAATACTAAAGCGACAAGGGAATGGGTGAAAATCTATATAAGTACAAGCTGCTTTACTACTCGTCTAAACACTCTGGATCCTGGATCAAAAATGTCCAAATCGATGTTTTTCATAGATATTTCGTTGTAAAGCCGACACATTCTTACAAGGGGGTTGTAAAACGAAGTATTATTTCTGTATGCCCGCAAGTAAAACGTCTTGTTGGGTATTCGGGGGTTGCGCCTTGTAGAGAGAGCTATTTTATTTAAGAGGTAAGGAGAATCAATCTCACCTTGATCTCACTCTCAAATTGATAGAAGATGTTTAGAAAGGTCAGCACAAAAGCAGTATAAAGGAAAACCAATGTAAGTTAATATGCAAATGGTGAATAAAGTTATGCCTATCCTATTAGCAAAGAAAGTGAGAATATTGTATTTGCAAAAGAATCATTTTAAGCAGACTTAAAGCATGTAAATGAAAGAATGCTTAATTTTTTTATATACCAACAAAGTTTATTGTTCCGTGTTGTTTATGTCAAACGATATATGAAGAGAATAAAGTTGACAAGACACCACATGAATTTAAATCAAAACAAATAAATTTTACATATTTTATTTTATTTATTTTATTGTTTTAAGAAAAAAGTATACATAAATAATGTAAAACACCGTTAAACCCTACTTGGGTTTGTCTCGATGCCATTCATTCCTTGCTACGAACAAACCAATACAAAATATTTAAAAAAAAATCTTATAAGTAGGTAGACATTGTCGTGGTCGGCTTATTGCAAGAAATCACTAACTACCATATGAACTATATGGCAATTAATGACTTCTTGCAAGAAGCCGACAATATGTGCTTTATTCTGCCAACTCCAAAATGAAGGGTCACACAAGTATCACCTTAAGGCAGGCTGTTTTATTTCCCATTATTATATTACAACACCATAGACTGTATCTAGAATCTATAATTTTCCATGTAACCTTCTTTAACACTAATTTAAATTATCACTGTTGTAATAACCTTTTATATAAGGCTCTGTAAGCAGAAAGCAACAGGTGTTAAATACTAACAGACATGCTAATTATCGAAATACAAACCTGATCAGGGGGAAAACGACATATCGCCACCATCTCATGGGTAAACTCCTCTAAAGTGATATTATGTTTAATATAAGTTATCATAACATCTCCACTATAAACAGTCTTAACTCTAATGTCATTTGCATGGTTATCTTGGTTCACCAGTTGAGTAGGCATCATGACAATACACAGGTACACCTAAAATCAAACACTAACATAAGCATATGCACTTTCTAATAAGATAAACCTAAGGTTTCTCTCATAACACCTATGGTAATTGTCATAACCTATAAAGAAATTAAAATTAATTTTGTCGATAATTTAGAAAGATATCACTGCACTAATGGATATGATATTCAAAGTAACCGTTTAGTAAAGTTTACTTCCTGTCTCCAAACACTATAATAGGCTCTATTATGTGATAAATGGGTAACATTCTCTGTTCATGAATCATTGCAATAGGTACATAACACGAACCTTGTAATATATGAGACTTAACGCGATAAAAGCACTACAGTCGGCTGTAAACTGGGATTATAATGCCATTGAAATAAATTGACAGTGTTTTAAAACAATTCGCGTTTATAAAAAGTACTATCAACAAAAGTTTGACACACACAAGAACATAATTTTTTTTTTTTTTTTTATTTATTAAGGCTTTGGCAAAGCCATCAGCCTAAACATGAAGTTTAATTATGTTTCTGTAAATATGGCCGCAACAAAGAGGATAGGCAATTTGAGGCGGCGTGCTAGGATTGACTCGGGATTCCTTAAAACGGGCCGATACGGGTATTTTAGTTCGAGATTCGTATAATTTCGCGTTTTAATCTTCGATTAAGGCACAATAGCACTATCCTATTCCACTTTAAACTAGATTTCACAAAATAATTGAAAGTCAAAATAAAAACGACACTTTTCCCTCCAAAAGGTCCAGAGCGAATCCACACAAGAACATAACATTGGAACGAGAAACTGACGTTTGGCCGGAAACAATTTAGGCAACGGGAACAAAGGAATTATTAATTGGAAACATATAGTGTACTCTGTCTCACACACACTATACAAAATGCTGTAAAACGGAGATATGTATACCGGCGTCTCTCAGTTTAGCCAACCTTAAAATATGTTAGCAGCTGTTTCCGGTTAAAAACATGAAATGCGCTTATTTTAGATGTTTTTAGTAAAATGTAAACTCCATGACGAAGATAACTTTAGTGAGTTTTATGAAGCATTATCTCTTTTTACAGCATTTGTCAATTCATGTTATTTAAGTGCATAATACGATAATTCGCCATTATTTTGTTATAGTTTTAAGCTGATGGCCTCGCAGCCAATACTCAATTAATAAAATAAAAAAATACGCCAACGATATCAAACTGCCTTACTACGGGTCGTATTCCAGAACTCTACTCAATGCTCAAGTCAGGACTTGAGGATGATTTAAAGCACTGAAAATCGTACTCAAGCCCTTGCCATTAGGGTAGTATTTCCAATGCTTGAAATCGTACTCGAGTCCTGCCTTCAGCACTGAGTAGAGTTCTGGATTAACACCCTAGAGTCGTATTCTAGAACTCTACTCAATGCTCAAGTCAGGATTTGAGTATGATTCAAAGCACTAGAAATCATACGCAAGTCCTTGCCATTAGGGTCGTATTGCCAGTGCTTGAAATCATACTCAAGTCTGCTCAAATTCTGACTTGAGCATTGAATACAGTTCTGAAATATGATCCTTAAACCAATGTCCTTATTCTCGTTTATAAATGGCAAATTATATGTATAAAGAAAATCCACAGTTTTGTGTTACGACTGGTGATAGGTCATGGAAAAATTTCCATTTTGGAAAAATCATATTACTCAGAAAAATAAATATTTTCCTCGTATTCTTCTACTCAATGCTCAAGTCAAGACTTGAGCAGACTTGTGTATGATTTAAAGCACTGGAAATACGACCCTAATGGCAAGGACTTGAGTATGATTTTCAGTGCTCACTGCAATACTTAAGTCCTGACTTGAGTATTCTGGTATACAGCCCTCGATATCTCTCACAGACCACATAAATACTAGTAAATATCTCTACTATTGCGTTTCATTCTGTTTTTTTTTTAATTTTCAAATCGTTTCCTATCAATTCCACAATGTTGAATTACGACAGTATTTGGTTTCGTGTGCGATTTATACTTTATTATAGACCTTTTCATTAACAATACAATCTTTATTATACTTACACATTTATATTTAATTTTTATACTCAAAATCCACTGAAATTAGTTGAGTCTAAATATTACCGAAAGGATGGGAACAAAAGGAAATTACTAGGCTTGAGAACCTCATGCAAATTTCGTTTAGAAGTAGTAATTGTTGAAAAACTGTAAAACTGGTTTCCGAACGGTAAATTGGTTATGTCAATTTTGGAACTAAAAGAATTTAATTTCTCCAAAAATAAATAATATTTTCAGTTTATTTCTTTTAGTTATTATTCAGATAGTAGCATCGTAAATCATGGTAAGATTAATGTTGCGTTTGTTTGAGTTTTTCTCTCTTATCAAGGCGTAACCAGCGACTATTTGTTCTGATGACTAATACGCCAAAATTGTGCTATTTTGTGAGCATTTCCCTCTGTTTTAGACGGAGCAACAAATGGATTGTGCTTTGGACTTAATGAGGCGACTACCGCCTCAGCAGATTGAGAAGAATCTTACAGATTTGATCGACTTGGTGCCTAGTTTATGTGAGGACCTCTTGTCCTCAGTAGATCAGCCCTTGAAGATTGCTCAGGACCGTAGTATGGGGAAGGATTACTTATTATGCGATTACAACAGAGATGGTGATTCCTACAGATCGCCTTGGTCGAATACATACGACCCTCCATTAGAAGATGGGTCAATGCCATCAGAGAGATTAAGGAAGTTAGAAGTTGACGCGAATCGAGCATTTGACCAGTATAGAGAGATGTATTTCGAAGGTGGCGTTAGTTCTGTGTACCTTTGGGACATGGATCATGGTTTTGCAGGCAAGTTGTTAATATATTTACTTAACTAAATTGTTAGAAATAGGTAAATTAATTGTCTTTATGACACCAAGTGACATGTAGAGGCGACGCGCCTAGTCATGAGAGTTGCAGTACCAATCAGAGCTTTAATTGCAAAGATCTGAGAGACACTGCTAATGCCCCTGCCATCCTGAGATTTGAAGTTGACAAGTTCCATGTGCTTGTAGGTTTGAAAATTTTGTTTACTTTGGACAGTTTACTTGACTAGATAAAGCCTTTAAATCTTTATTACTAAGTAAATTGCAGGAATGATTAGTACTGATACTACTTTTATAAAAGCAAGGAGTACAACTGTTTGTTTTCCTTTTTTTTAATGTAAATATTTGACTCTTTATCTAAAACTTTATCAATGTGTGTACAGATACAAAGTTAAACATTGAATTGGGTTTTGATACGTAGCCAGTTAATTTGTTTTTAGTCTGTTCTAATTTCAGTACAATTTTGTTTTTATTGTGTATTTATCCACTGTGCAATGGTACACCTTTAACTTTTAACGTTTCTTGACCATTAGTGTGTCGTTGTCTGGCTTATGATTGATTTAATATTTAAACTGGTATAATGTTCCTAAATTTGTGACAGCCTGACAAAAATGTGCATTACATAGTTAGACTGGAGTAGTAGTGGGGGCAAATGTGCATGTGCCAAAACTATAGTGAAACCAAAACTTTATACAAAAGTTACACAGGTTCTGCATACTTGTGATATTTTGGTCTTTAGGTTGTTCTGAGATGTGATATTTAAAATAAATATTGTAAATGTAAATGATAATGTGCACAATTGCCTGATTACAAAGGGCAAAACTTTCTTAAAGATCCTTACTTATTCTTTTCATGGGAATAACTCATTCTTCTCCCATGACTGACTAGACATTGATAAAATTCTTCAAGAAAAGCCAGATACTTAAAAATATAATACTCATTCTTCTGCCTTACAAATGAGTAATAGAGTTTAATCAATGTGATATTTTCAAATGAAATAAAAATTAAATTTGAATAAGAATTATTTGCTGTTACAAAAATTTGAAAATGACATTTAAAATGGGTATACATACGAAGATGTTGTTTTTTAAATAAGTTAATTACTCTTTACTAATAGTCTATGAAAAATTGATACGGAATTAATCATTAACAATTTTTTATACACACACCCTTTAGTACAGTTAATATCAATAATTAATCATCACCACCCGTCTAGATGAGGTCACTTTTTAATGGAGATGGTTAATTCTTAATATATCTCTATATCTTATACCCATATCCTTATCCCTTACAAGTTTGGGAGATTCCGAAGAAAAGATGTCCTATGAGAAATCTCCTTGATTATTATGGTAAAAATTATTAGTAATAGCGGGCAATATTGTCTTAGTCTTTATATAAAAAAGAGACAAAAAATATAAATTTACATTAATATGTTTCATTTACAGGAGTTATCCTGATAAAGAAAGCAGGTGATGGGTCTCAAAAGATCAAGGGCTGTTGGGACTCCATCCATGTGGTGGAAGTTGTTGAAAAGAGCTCTGGTCGCAACGCACACTATAAGCTCACCTCTACAGCCATGTTATGGCTGCAAACTAACAAGGAAGGCAGTGGCACTATGAATCTTGGAGGCAGTCTTACAAGACAGGTAAATATATTTATATAAAATACGTCATTGTCCCCTTGTTGTTGATTTTATAATTAAAGAACTTCTTTGTGAAGAAGCTCTCTTGGATCACTACCCAACTACGTTCGTAAAAGGCATTTACCATTTTGGGCTATTTTTTAAACATACAAAATTTTCCTGCAGGCTGAGCAAGATGCGACAGTTAGTGAGGTAACCCCTCACATCGCCAACATCGGCCGCATGGTCGAGGACATGGAGAACAAGATCCGGAATACCCTTAATGATATTTATTTTGGTAATATTTTATTTTACAAAGCTTAAATCCTTCTACACACAAACAGTGTTCCCCATGATCATAACCTGTTGGATCATTTTTCGAAAAATAGAAAGCACGAATCATTTATCTCTTATCTATAGACAGAAGGCCACGTTTAGCCGTACATATGGTCTGATTTTCTTGGATGTAAATACATGGTAGCTACACATTGTTTACACTTTTACTATGTATGCTTTTTCCAGGCAAGACGAAAGACATTGTCAACGGTCTGCGCTCCGTAGTGCCGGCTGACGTGCAGCGGCGCACGGCTGCCTTGCAGCACGACTTGGCTGTAGCACTACAGCGTCGACACGTTGCGCGTGCAGACTGAGCTGATCACATGTATGTTTAGACAGCATAACTTATTTATAGAGAAAACATATATACAGTAAATGTGCACAATATTTACTACTTGATGATAGAA